GACAACTCTCCATCCAAGTCACAATTTGTAAAAGTAAACCATTATAGGTCAAAGTACGGCCTTCAACACGGAGCCTTGGCTCACACCGAACAGCAAGCTATAAAGGGCCCCAAAAATGACTAGTGTAAAACCATCCCAACGGTACAATCTATATAAAAAACGAGAAACCTGGTTTTATAGCTAGCTAACCTCCCACTTGTAAGACAGTTCACTGTAAAAATGGTGTTTAGAGTCTAAACATAATCCTAAACGCGAATTTTGTTCTCACTTGAGCACATGTTTAACCTTAAACATGTTCTACTTTGTATATATGTTTAGGTTTAGAACATCATTATACTGTCTCATAAGAACATGTTTAACCCTAAACATATTTAACCCTCTAGAACATGTTTAACCTCTAGGTGTTCCTTTCCTAAACATGCTTAACCTCCGTCATGTTCCAATTCTAAACATGTTTAGCCTCCGTCATGTTCCAATTTTAAACATGTTTATCGGGTATATTTGTGCTTGAGTACTCGTGGTAAATACTACTGTGACAAGAGTCATCCAATCAGTCTTCAAAGACCATACAGTAACTCCAAAATCTACTGTCGGTGTCTAACATTACATTGGAATCTTTAGATGTGCAAGCAGTCGCAACCTGAAACAGATTAAAACAATCCACAAAGCATCATATAAAATACCTCAATTTTAATAATATTTCTTTAAATATAATAATCATAACGTTTGTTTGCGATTCCTTTATAAATAGTTAACAAAAAACGTGAATTCAGATGTGTAGATGTAAAACAAATTTAAAATAGTATGCCTCCCCCTTTTTGTCGATATTGTAAAGAACCTTGTGGTGTTTGAAATTTCCTGTAAGGACACTCTCTAGTTTCACCTAATTACATTGTAATTGACCATCATAATAGATAATACTTATCTGACAGTTCCGTTGTCGCTTTTTGAACCTTCCATGGCATGGATTGTTGATCTTCTGCATCCCGGAATTTCAAAATTTCAAACGCATGATTATTTGCGCACGCGCCAACAGTGCTTCCTATTGTTTGTTGTGTTCTAAACCTAAACATGTTTAGGCTCATGTCATGTTTAGTTTATAGTTATATCTAACTTCAAGTGTCTTGTGTTCTAACCCTAAACATGTTTAGAGGAATATCACGTTTAACATTGAAGTGTTTAGGATTAGAACATAATTCTAAACATGTTTAGATCTAAACATGTGCTCAAAGTGTTCTATCTCGAAACTCCTTTTTTACAGTGTTGTTTATGGCTATAGATTGTTTCTCCGTTTCATCTTTTCCAATGCCAAATGGTATAAAAAGTCTGTGATCGGCAATATCTAAGAAGATAGCTGTAAGTATGTGTTGATTAGAATAAGGCATGAAAATAACAATGCACTGTTGGGCAATAGTTTTAATAAAACATCTCAATTTATATTTTTAAAAAACCCGCATTTGTTCCTCAAACGTCATATCCAAATGAGCTATCTTGATCGTGCTGTTAGGTGTGGACGTTTATTTCATCACTGAAAACTAAGAACAGATAAATTGAAGCACAGTAGTTCGTTCTATTTATTATTATTTTCACTTTTTTGAATGGATGTCGACTCATATACTTCTAGATTGTATCACTTTTATCTCTTCTCCAGTTAAAATGTTGTTTCAGAAAAGGGAGAAGGTTTGGTACCATTAAAACGTTTAATCCCGCTGCAAATGTTTGCACCTGTCCTAAGTCAGGAATCTGATTACAGTAGTTGTCGTCTGTTTATGCAGTTCATACGTCTTTCTCGTTTCTCGTTTTTATATAGATTAGACCGTTAGTTTTTCCGTTTGAATGGTTTTACACTAGTAATTTTTTGGGGCCCTTTATAGCTTGCTGTTCGGTGTGAGCCAATGCTCCGTGTTGAAGGCCGTACCTTGACCTATAATGGTTTACTTTTATAAATTGTAACTTGGATGGAGAGTTGTCTCATTGGCACTCATACCACATCTTCCTATATCTATCAGCTTTCCATTTAGATTGTTTTTTTTATTCTCTAAAGATATCTGAAGAAATCGTAAAACAAATGCTTCCTTTTAAAGCTCAAAGAGTCCCTGCAGTACACCTTGACGTGTCTCGCTGGACTAATACATCAAACTGCAAATGCATTCCATGCCAAATACGAATCGTGAAATTGATATACCTGTTTCATACCACTATTGCAATGCAACAAGAATCAATGTCTCGATTTGCACTTGGCATTTTACTTAGTGCGAATTGGGAAATTGTTTATTCATGTTTGGACAATAAATTGGCACATGAATCATGATTTTCATATATATCAATGAAACAGTAAATCAACAATATATCGACTCGCACTGTGTGAACAGTGTACTCGTCTTAACTAAAACAGAGGTTATTCTATATCTGAAAATAGCGCATTTTTCTGATTGCAATTGTTGTTACAAAGTTTTCGTGCATTCAAATACAAAATGTCTAAAGTACATTATTGTTTACGATTAACTTGTTTACCAATTATTTGAAATGCAAATGTACCTTTACACACCTGACGAGATTGGTGCAAAAATAGAAATAACAGTAAACAGTATAATTATATTGCTGCAAGATTATGCTAATCATCAATAATTATTCAATATCTCAGCAGGGTGCATGTAGATATGGTTATTTAAAAGTACATACGACATAAAAGCTATGAACATATTAAAGGTAACTATAGAATTTGGATAACATATTTATTAACTTTTTTCTCTCAATTTTTATCGATGTGAATAACGACTTGCACAAAAAATATAATATACTGACACATGAGTCCATGAAACTCATTGACAGAGTAAGAATATTCGTGATGTCTTATAATACAGTATCAAATTTCATGTAGATTTCCTTGTAAAATAAAATGCAACATTTGCCGATATTTTTGCTAGACTCTACCTTCGAAATGTACCTAAAAACTAGAGCATTTCCGATAGGTGAAAACTATTGCATCATGACCAAATTTCTCCGTAAAGTTTTGTATGCACTAGAGAGGTTCCTTGTTAAACGACATTTGCATGCACGGAAGCAGAAATCAGGTAAACAAGATGGATAAATGAACTGAAGGCATCAGAGCTGCAAGAATTTGACGAAATATCATCAAAGTTGATGAAATAAATGGTATTATATTATTAAGGGGTTATAACACCATATTGAGGAATAATGTCCTTGGTATTATATTATTAAGGGATTATTACACCATATTGAGGAATACCGTCTTTGGTATTATATTATAAAGGGGTTATAAGACCATATCGAGGAATAATGTCCTTTGTATTATATTATAAAGGGGTTATTACACCATATTGAGGAATAATGTCCTTGTTATTATATTATTAAGGGGTTATAACACCATATTGAGGAATAGTGTCCTTTGTATTATATTATAAAGGGGTTATTACACCATATTGAGGAATAATGTCCTTGTTATTATATTATTAAGGGGTTATTACACCATGTTGAGGAATAATGTCCTTGTTATTATATTATTAAGGGGTTATAACACCATATTGAGGAATAGTGTCCTTTGTATTATATTATTAAGGGGTTATAACACCATATTGAGGAATACCGTCTTTGGTATTATATTATAAAGGGGTTATAAGACCATATCGAGGAATAATGTCCTTTGTATTATATTATAAAGGGGTTATTACACCATATTGAGGAATAATGTCCTTGTTATTATATTATTAAGGGGTTATAACACCATATTGAGGAATAGTGTCCTTTGTATTATATTATAAAGGGGTTATTACACCATATTGAGGAATAATGTCCTTGTTATTATATTATTAAGGGGTTATTACACCATGTTGAGGAATAATGTCCTTGTTATTATATTATTAAGGGGTTATAACACCATATTGAGGAATAGTGTCCTTTGTATTATATTATAAAGGGGTTATTACACCATATTGAGGAATAATGTCCTTGTTATTATATTATTAAGGGGTTATTACACCATGTTGAGGAATAATGTCCTTGTTATTATATTATTAAGGGGTTATAACACCATATTGAGGAATAATGTCCTTTGTATTATATTATAAAGGGGTTATTACACCATATTGAGGAATAATGTCCTTGTTATTATATTATTAAGGGGTTATTACACCATGTTGAGGAATAATGTCCTTGTTATTATATTATTAAGGGGTTATAACACCATATTGAGGAATAATGTCCTTTGTATTATATTATAAAGGGGTTATAACACCATATTGAGGAATAATGTCCTTTGTATTATATTATAAAGGGGTTATTACACCATATTGAGGAATAATGTCCTTTGTATTATATTATAAAGGGGTTATTACACCATATCGAGGAATAATGTCCTTTGTATTATATTATAAAGGGGTTATAACACCATATTGAGGAATAATGTCCCTCGCAGTATATATGACTTACTCCTCGGGAAAACATTCCTAAACGTGTTAGCGTAATTACCCTCTATTAGATTCAAGCTATTTTTGTCAAAATCAAAGCATCTTACTTTTCTATCACATGAAGAATGCTTTTTAGTGAGGTATTTGTTCTTGATTTTTGTGTAAACAGTTTTATCAACTCAAGTGCATGCAGCCCCTGTTTCAAGTTGATATTAAGGTAAAACCGAACGTTTGGGTTGTATTGTTATTGGATTGCCGTCTTATTGAAGTTTGTCCAAAATATGTCTTTAATGATTCTCATTGTACGAATGACAGTACGTTCTGTCATTAAAAATTGATATAAATAGTCAGCGCAAATCAATCTGTTTTACTTTTTTTTGTAGGGAGAGAAAATAATTCACTTTAAAATGAGTTCGATACTGTAGCAGTATTGTCCGTTCGTCTTTGGTGATAGTTGTCTCATTGGCAATCAAACCATATGGCCATAATGAATACGATCTGTAGTAATATTGCGACATCAATGTACTCAAGCTTAGCAGTAGCTTTAATAGGTATATTAAAAATGATAAATGCTATGAAAATGTATTATTTTATCTTTTCTGAGTAATAAAATTTAACGCTGAAATACATTCATTCTAGTTATTTTTAGTTAATTTATGTAATGATTAAAACAGACGCTATTCACAGCAAGAATATAATTATTGCCTTTTTTCTCGTGTATAATCCGACTAACATCGGAAATAGCAACATACTTGGCAGTTAATGACCAGATGAAGAATATAATTAGAAACAACATATGCGTCCTTCCAGTAGTCCTCAGAGACGGAATAACCAGCGTATTTTCTTCCTCTCGCATTACGGTTCCCAGGAGATGTGTTAATAAATGGACGATCTGCTTCAAGCAGAGAATATGTCACTTGAAATGTTATGAACTTACGAGAATACATATCTTTACATTGATATCTTTGTCTCCTCTTGACTGTTAGCATTGAGATCGTTTGAAGCAACAGGTGTATACATAGCAAAAGCGTATTCATTTGAAAGCTCAGACTTTGGCTTTTTTCGGCAACATGGACTTTTACAGCACATATTATGAACACGTTTTCTGAACAAACTCCCAGTTAAATAATAAATGAAAAAATAACAAGCCTGGTTTGAAAGACAAATCTCCTCAACCACTTTTCTTATCATTAAATACTGTAAATATTTCCTCCATGTTGGATCCAACACCATTTTTTGTACTGACATTTTATTACCATAAGGTAATAAAGATTGCATCGCATATACAATGGAGGCCGGCAGTAAGGTACATATGAAATAAAACGACACTGATAACAACGTTACTGTTGATGTTGTTGTTGCGCGTCCACTATGTCCGGAATAAAGACGTGTAGTATCCCTTGCATCGATTTTACGTATTTCAATAATAACAAGTATATTAAAAATCAGGACACATAAAGGTATTAATAAGAAATGTAAAATCTCTGTAACAAGCGTCCATATTTTCTCAAATTTTTGGTGCCCGAAGCTTAGGAAGGCACAAAGTTTTATTTTGTCATCATAGTCCCAAAGATAGGCCTGGACTGAGGATAATCCTGCTGAAATGATAAACATACAAGTTGATACCATTAGGGCTCTTTTAACAGTACAGAATTTTTTCTTCTGAAATGGATGGCATACAGCAATATATCGTTCTATTGTAAATGCTAAAACCAACATCGGTGACAAATACTGCGGTATCATAAGAAAAACACTGAATGTTTCACAGGCACCAGGACTGGCGTATAACTGTATGCCCCAGGCATAATTAAGTTCCATTATCAAATGAACAATTAGGAAATATATATTTACTATTGCTAATATTCCCTGATAAACAGCAGAAGAATTTTTTCGGTTACTGCGTCCGAACCATATGGCAGCCGAGAGTGGGTTACCAATAAAACCTATGACGTACCAAACAGGTGAAATTATTCTGTCGATTAATAAAACCTCTGGTGAAATCTGTTGTAACGTTTCTATGTATCGTGGTGCTGAATCTTTCGGTAAATCAAACGTCACATTTTCAAACATTGAGGTATTTTTCACCAGACTGAAAGATAAAAAAGAAAATGTATATATATGAAGAATTTTCCGAACGGAATATTTATTTTCTTTTGTTTTGCCACTACGGCTTATTTAGTCATAACAAGGTCAGAATATTCATTTTTTTCTTTAAACAAAAGTAAATAAAATAAAAATTATAATGTCTAAAAAAAAAAGTCAAACTCAAAATCTAATACGACTCTTATTTCCTATTCTTTTCCATCGACATTAAAAAAAATCCAGAACACTATTTGACTTGACAAACTATAAGTTGTTCATGATTGTATTGGTCTAATCTGGATTATCAGAAATACTAATGTATTCATACCATATGTCGGAATATAAATTCAACTTATAACTGTCAACTGGGTCTTTCAATAAATTGTATGTAATTGATATATAATGTAACAAATTATTTCATCTAATGTAAGCTGTACACTGGCAGATAAACTAAAGCATACAATTCTTTTAAAAGTTTCTTTACGGATAAATTTGTATGAATCAACTTCGGCTATTAGACTTGGTAAATAAACTCGACTAGAAATACAATACATCATGATGATTAACAAAATAAAATGAATAGGTATGAAAATAAGATGATGAAGTTTGATTACCTATGAGACAAATATCCAACATAGTCCAAAATGAAAGCAAGTATAGGTCACCCACCAAATAGCCATCAACAATGAGTAAACCCAATTACGCTATGAAACAGTGTACTTTGTTTTAAGGACACGGTTCATTTCATTTATTTTTACAGTTCATTCTTATTTCTTCAATATGAATATATATAAACTGATGGATTTATTCAACGAGAAAAGAAGCATCAAACTGCATCGATGTAACGGTTATCCAATGTACAGTTTTACCAACGCCAATCAACTCTCAAAGACGTTGGTATTGTCGACTGGATGCTATGATTTCAAACCAAAATCTAAACATTTATCTATATGTGCTGCGCTAACTTGCTTTTATCATTTTTATCAATGTGATAAAGCCCATCACCCAAAAAAATCATCGCCACGTTCGACAAGAACAAAATGTTTTATAAATTATAACATACTAGTAATGGATATTTTATGAGACGAGTACTACGAAAATAACCTGCATGAAACTCTCTAAATCTCTCTAAGAATCATGTCTGAAAGTATTCGCATTTGTAAATAAGAAATCCGTATGAAGTACGTGTGAATCAAAGAGTATATTCACTTCAGCTCGCAGATAATAAATACTTAATTGTCAATCACATGCTGGATAAGGAATTGATCATCAGTTTATAACAGGTTTATTCACCAAAGCTCAATATCAAAAATATTTCCGGTGGTCTTGAATTTGCTAAAAAAAATCTTCAAACTGATGGTTTAATTTTTCAATCAATATCAAGTGTATTGATTGAATATTGTGAGCTTAACACCTAGTGGCCAATATCTCATTTAAAATCAAGTAAAGCATAACTTATGGTGGTCCCTTTTGGAGTTCATGCGATTCCCTCATTTTTTTTTTGTTCTCTTGATTAGTAAACTCTCTTTTCAAAATCTATGGCAGGAAATTTGGACTGCCACTGGAAATTACGGGCATGTTGCAAAAGGTCACGCATAGGAAAGGGGTTTCAACGTGGAGAGAGCGTGGTAATCTCCATTCGCGAGGCATCGGATTTAACGTCCCCATTCGAATTAACGCTGCTGTGTTCAGTGTATGAAAGAGAAAACCCAAATTTCCCGGATAACCATTCTTCTCACTAAATTATTAAAATATCTAGGTGTGGTGCAAGTATTGCAACTCACATGTGTTAACATATAAATTACGAGGTTTAACGCTCGTAATTCTTCACAAGAATGCATGTATATGTAATAACAATTTAAATGCATGTTCTTTTCTTTCAGTTAAATTGTATCGGGGAATAACATCAAAATTACATCCTTATACAAGATTATGTGTTAAATTATATTTGTAAGTATGTTTACTAATGTGAAACAAAGGCGGCAAAATATACTTTTGAGGGGAGAGTTGAAAAGCTAGTCCAGATCTGCAGAAAATACCAAAAATGAAAATAAGTCACTAAGTCATGGGTTGGATTAGCTGAGGTGCACTTTGTTTGTGTTTATCAAAAATCTCACGATAAGAAAAAAACACTTAAATCAAAACAAATCATTGCAGTTATCTAGCAGTACATGTAGAAAAGCGAAGCTTACCGGATTTTTCATGACTAATATAAAGTATCTTAAGTTTTATGTCTTTCAAAAATTTTAGGATGAAAAACAAAAGGAGTGGCAAATGCACTTTATTACCTCCCTTACTTTTGAGATTGGTGACAATATCTCCTATTTCCCCCTGTTTGACCGACAATGAAATGGAATGTTAAATCTGTTTATAAATTGATAGGATATTTTATATACTGCAACACAAAGTTCAGACTACGTAATTATATATCCTTACCAAGATGGTAGCAATGACTTTTAAGAAGAGATAAATCTATTTTGATAGTAACACGTTCTGAAATTCAATCATGGAATTAAATTGGTTGTCTTACCATAAACAAAAGCGGTCGATCAAAATACAACGCAATTAGCACTGAATGGTTCCGAGAAAACGTCTCTATGTTCAGTATGTTGTATGGCATTCGATATGTTGTTTCAATTGGGTAGAAATAATTTTCCAATTTTTATCTTCCGACAAAGTATGGTTAGACTGCTCATATGGCAATAATGTCACAAAATACTATAAAATCATTAAACAAAACAAAAAAAACAAAAAAGAAAACAACATTGCTTTAATTTTTGTTCATCATTTGAACAGTTTCAGTATGTTGAATAGATGTCGATAAGTGTATTTGTTATTATTCGTGGGATGGATACAAATTTTCTAAGTTTTCGCAGGTAAAAGTTCACCGCGAATTTTAAGTGTTTAACAAAATACTGACATTTTTTTATCACATGATTAACAACAAAAATTTCTAAAACTATCCGTTTATAAATTTTGAAATTATAAAGAAACTAAGGTTTCAACTCCCTCAGGCAAAGTTGACCTTAGAGGCTATTTTTAGGTACTTTTTAGTCATATAGCTCTGCAACTGTTTCGGTTCTTGTACATCCCCGGCTTTCAAATATTCGGCTTTGAGCGTTCCTGATGAAGATAAATCCAGAAAAGCGCTTCAGAAGCATGAAATCAATAACGTGTAGTTTTCATTTTTTATAAGAATCCATCAGGAATATTTTTCAACCACGAACATCGTTTTACTAAATCCACGAAAATAGATACCAAAAAGAAATCGACGAAAATAGATACCAAAAAGAAATCCACGAAAATAGTTACCAAAAAGAAATCCACGAAAATAGATACCAAAAAGAAATCCACGAAAATAGATACCAAAAAGAAATCCACGAAAATAGATGCCAAAACGAAATCCACAAAAATAGATGCCAAAAAGAAATCCACGAAAATACATTGCCAAAACGAAATCCACGAAAATAGATGCCAAAAAGAAATCCACGAAAGTAGATACCAAAAAGAAATTCACGAAAATAGATGCCAAAAAGAAATCCACGAAAATAGATACCAAAAAGAAATCCACGAAAATAGATGCCAAAAAGAAATCCACGAAAATAGATGCCAAAAAGAAATCCACGAAAATAAATACCAAAAGAAATCCACGAAAATAGATACCAAAAAGAAATCCACGAAAATAGATGCCAAAAAGAAATCCACGAAAATAGATACCAAAAAGAAATCCACGAAAATAGATGCCAAAAACAAATCCACGAAAATAGATACCAAAAAGAAATCTACGAAAATCGATACTAAAAAGAAAAAAAGAATCCCCAATTGCAGATTTCTAAGCAATTATATAAGACTTTCTTTGTAATAAACTGTTACCCGCGTCATTGTTTATTTGTCTTTTATATAACTTACAAAGTCAGACAGATATTGTTGTAGTAGATCTGACTTACTGTATCATTTAAATCTCATACATAAAACTGTATTACATGTTTAATAGCATGAAGTTATTATTATGCATGTCTGATAAAAGAATATAGTTTCCATCGTTCTCTTTTTGCGCTTACAAATGGACTGAAGCATCATCTAAGAATCTTCCTTTCTTGTATGGAAATTTAATTTCGTATATTGACATGAAATTTTCCCAGAAGATAATGTGTCTGGTGTATATGACAAACGGATATGAATGACATATTCAATAAATTCCATGACAAAGCTGTTTATGGTGCAGTTGATTAAGCTGTAGAGCGTTAGGAATATAATTACTTTCAGAAATTCTTTTCAACTTCACAAAAAGAAAATGATCCGCATTTGGAAATATGGGTTATCCTTAGGTCAAAAGATGTCTGAATTGGCCCTTCCTGATTCCTACAAGACATTTAACAAAACCACAACGTGGTGTGTTATTCATCACATCTGTGTATGTGGCATGCCATTGATAAAGCGGCATTCAAGATCTTACATATACTTTGGGGTCAGTAAAACAAATCTGAAAGTATTCGCATTTGTAAATAAGAAATCCGTATGAAGTATGTGTTCCTTGTCCAGTTATTTTAAACGTGTCAGTAGATGAAAAACATAGTGATGCACTTCATGTTTTTTTCATTTCATTTGTTTTCAATTTGAAATTTCAGATTTTACTATTGATTGCTGATCACAGATAGTTAAGCTGAGATGAAAGCCAAGTTAGGAATATGACAGCTTTTTTTCCCCATTCGTCCTGTTGGTTGATAAAGTCTAACTTTTGATTTTGTCAGTTTTATGGACTTCCCATTTTTGAATTTACCTTGGAACTCGGTATTTTTGTTATACTCTTTATTCCCTAATAGTGCTAAAAAATAAACTAAAACGCCAATATTTTATAGCGACCAGGTTTGAATGTTATAAGGTCTTATTCACCATAATACTGTAATAGTTTGCCTTTGATAAAATTTAATTTTTGTACCTTGATTTTATGACTTCCGTTCCATGGATAATAAGACGATAAGCAACGGTCATTAAAACCTCTAATGATACATAATCTGTGTCCAGATTAATGGATTTCCCATCAAAGTTAAGCGATGACAGTTATTGCTTTCTATAAGATGTTATCAAATATTAAAATTAATTTGTGTATTCCATTTAGTACAAATGATGATACGTTACACTGTTTGGTATAATGAACTAATTAATGTGGGGTTTATATTATTCATTAATTTCTTCAGAATTCATTTGGGGATTTAAACTTTGGACACAATGCCAATTCGTCTATGTAAAATCGCTGAAAAAATTTGCTGCAAAATCTTTGAAGATAGTGGTGCAAATTATATAAATGTTTAACGTTCACTTGATATACATTTTGATTATCTAACATGAATAACATTGAAATAATTTCAAAGCAGCGGCGTACTTCCGTTTTATACGAATTTAAATATCTGTGTTTTCTGTCAAAAGCATGTTATACTTTGGTAAAACTGTTTATACGCGTTACTTTGAAATTAACTCCATATCTCGCTTTATGAATGATGTATGTATTTCTGAAAATGAAGTCATTTTATGGAAACGGATGTCAGGAAAAGCGCATGACATAAAATACAGTATATATATACCTCCTTCAGTTCATAAATTTACTTTAAAACTTATAATGCAATAGAACAAATTTAAGAGTAAAACTAGTATTTAAAAAAAAACGTACACACAGTAACCCTTAACAAAACAAAACAGAACTATGATATCATTCTAGCATGCCCGTAAATCAGACTGGCCTGCAAACAGAGGAAATAAAGAGAATGGTATTTCCCTTTAAACACAAATTCAATGAATAGAATAACGAACGATAGACGGAAGATACCAAGGGACATCCAAACTTGTAAACTCGTTAGTCGAACACAAATAAAAATGCATATATTAATCTGTAAAATGAACAACATTCTCCAAAGGTCTTATTTCAGTAAATTACATATTACATTTCCTTGCGTGCGACTAGTATGTGTAATATGTGTCAAAGACGATATAAAAATTATAGGATGTGGTATGATTGCCAAATGAGACAACTTTCCACCAGAGACAAAATGACGTGGAAGTAAGCAACTGTAGGTCATCAAACGGCTTTCAACAATGAGTAAAACCCATACCGCAAAGCAAGCTATAAAAGTTCAAACAAGAAAACAAGATAACTAACGTCCTGATTTATGTACAAAACACTAAACGAAAAACAGATATGATATACAGCAAAAAAACGACAACCACTGAATCACATCTCCTGACTTTAGACAGGCACAAACATAATGCGTGTTAAACATATTAGCAGGCTCCCAACCCTCTCCTAATGGATTTCTTTATAACATACATTTAAGTCTCAAGACTCAAACCATAAAAGCACTTAAATTGTATACTTTGCTAAATATTGACGGCTATTCACATTTCCTTTAATAATGATTTTATTTTTTAAGATTTCACCTGAATATTCTAAAATGTGTTACAGTTGAATAATTGTTACATTATAGAACGCTTAGAAAAAACTCTTTATGTAAATCTTTAAAACACTTTAAAATGTTTCCTTTGAAAACACAATTTTGAATGGTCATAAGAACTTGTATCTTACAAATGCCAGTTATGAATGAAAAGAAGGGAAATTTTATATCAATAAAGAAAAATCTGTATATGAACATGACAAAGAATAGGAACAACGTTTTATTGCTGTTCTTCATATCTTAACTTTACAGCGAGATCAATTACATATATTTTCATAACCCTGACGTTTAGTTTTGAAATGTTCATACTTTTACCGAATACCAGGTGCATCAATTAATAGATCATACACTAAATTTTAAAAGCCATTACAAAAAATGTTACAACCAGCTCTTTAATCACACTTCAATAAGTTCACATTTATAATGATTGAAACCATTTATACAAAAAAGGTTAAATACAATATAATATATTAACATTTGTAACTTGATAATTTTAACCGGATAACAGATTTTATGATCGTATTACCCATACCTTTTATAACCTTCTCCGAAACAGTAGTCATTTCTACATACCATACAAAAATACAGTTAGTATATGATCGCTCAAAATTAAGAGTCAATACAGGATGACAAAATAAGAAGATGTAGGATGATTGCCAATGAGACAACTCTCCACAAGAGACCAACTGACACAGAAATTAACAACTATAGGTCGCCGTACGGCCTTCAACAATGAGTAAAGCCCATACCGCATAGTCAGCTATAAAAGGCCCCGAAATGACAAATGTAAAACAATGCAAACGAGAAAACTAACAGCCTGATTTATACAAAAAAGTGTGTAAAACTATGCATTGTTTGCTTTCATTTCTAGTAGAAACAAATATTAACCATGATGCAAATGAAAGAGTGAACGCAGAGTGAAACTAGAATTTAAAAAAAGTACCCAGTAATAACGTAATTGTGAACAATATGCAAAGTATTAAATGATATAAACTATGTCAGAACTCCAATGTGCTTTATTATTTAAAAGGGTAAATCTCATGTGTGTTAAGACAATGTATATAATCAAAGATCTCCGTTAATTCCAGAATTAGAGCCAAATAAGATAAGTCACATGGAAATAAAAAGCAGTGAATTATATCCAAGAAGAAACCAAAGTCAAAGTCAATTCATATCAAAGTCATAAATTCAAGTTAATGTTAAATTCTCGTTCAAGTTAGATTCCCGTTCGTGTAAAACTCTCGTTCATGTTAAACTCTCGTTCATGTTAAACTTTCGTTCATGCCAAAAAATCGTTTTTAGAACACTACGTCGTAACGCGTTTTGATTTATAAAACAAGTCATCGTTCTTAGCTAATTTCAAAACAGCACTATAGTATTCCGAAAATGTGACATGTATACGCAACGACATCTTTTTCCAACGATAAGCCATACACAAACACGCAAACACACATACATACTCGTACATAAAAACCAAGTGTCAAACAAAGATAAATATTCGGTTAAGTATTGTAATTTATGCCTCGTTCACACGTACATTTAATTCGAATTGAATTCGAATCGAATGCGAATCGAATTCGCTAATCGCGTTCACACACTCTTCTTTTTTAATTCGAATTGATTCGAATTGGCTAAATCGCATTATCCAATTCGCATTAGAAATGCGTTTTTGTTAATACGAATTAAAAGTTAACGTCGTTAGGACAGTAAAGCGAATTTGATGCGCATTGCAATTCGAAATAGAATTTACGTTTGGACGTTAAACGTTTCGAATGCGAATCGAATTCGCTAATCGCGTTCACACACTCTTCTTTTTTAATTCGAATAGATTCGAATTGGCTAAATCGCATTATCCAATTCGCATTAGAAATGCGTTTTTGTTAATACGAATTAAAAGTTAACGTCGTTAGGACAGTAAAGCGAATTTGATGCGCGTTGCAATTCGAAATAGAATTTACGTTTGGACGTTAAACGTTTCGAATGCGAATCGAATTCGCTAATCGCGTTCACACACTCTTCTTTTTTAATTCGAATTGATTCGAATTGGCTAAATCGCATTATCCAATTCGCATTAGAAATGCGTTTTTGTTAATACGAATTAAAAGTTAACGTCGTTAGGACAGTAAAGCGAATTTGATGCGCATTGCAATTCGAAATAGAATTTACGTTTGGACGTTAAACGTTTCGAATGCGAATTAAACTAATTCGAATTAGTTAATGCGAATCGAATTCGAATTACGTGTGAACGCAGCATAAGTTAGGAGATGTCTCAGAGAGGATAAGACGTTTTAATATCTTAGGATAATAAGTATAAAAAGTGTTGTTCAAGTTCCAGTTACCAGGCGCAACATAAACATAAGTATTTGTAACAGTTTTAAGATAACCAGAAAATGTTTCATCGTAGTTTTGTAGTATTTTTAGAATGTTTTTTAAATATATAAATACTAAAACCATTATTTGTACTCTTATTAAAGTTTCAGTTTCTCTGTCGACATGGCCATTCCCTCCGAGCTTAATAATTTGCTGGTTATCCTAAAATTTGTTAATAGGATACATTTCATTTTTTTATACTTATGTTTATTCGTTCATTTGACACAAACACAACATATGTTCTTTAAAATCAAATAACATATATCAGACACAATCTGTTAATTAATGAATAAAGCGAAAACTATAATTACCTGAAGATGTGCATGGGGTATATGTTAATGAGACTGCAACCTAACGACATATATACCAAGACATCAAAGGGGGCAATTTACACAAATTTTCTTTATCTGGGAGGGAACTTGCACAAATTGGACATGTAAACAAAAAAAAGAGGAAACATTTATGAACATATAAAAAGAAGATGTGGTATGATTGCCAATGAGACAGTCCTCACTCATTTTCTTGCAAAAAAATATCAAAAGCAAATGAAATTAGTACATAATGTAAGTGTATGCACATACAGAAAATCATATCGGTATCCAATGTTATTTATCTTCGTCTGTTATTATATCTATATATTTTTTTTTAATTCCAAAAAGACATTCTACATAGTATTTTTTTCCTAGGCTTGATAATTTGGTTTAGTGAAAAACTTTGAGTTACATGTACATTAAGTATTATTACAAATTCATTTTAGATAACCTTCACTTCCTGTATACGTGTAATAAAAAAAGAAATCATTATTATTATTATTACTATTAAATAAAATTAAAAAATAAGTTAAAAGCGTAGTCCTCCCTCGTTTTCTTGCGAAAACAATCAAAAGCAAATGAAATTAGTACATAATTTAAGTACCCTACCTTAATAGATCTTTCAAATCAAAGGAAGACATCGTTTATTGTGTATGCACATACACAAAATCATATCGATATTATTACATATCCCAGCAGTCTTTAAAATTCCATAATAAGTCAACTAAACGGGTCAAGATGGTGTGTCTGAATGACTGTCTGCACCAGCGGACTGGATATCATCGCATTTATTCAATAACCTACGCAGGAATCGTAATTGTTATGTAAAATTCATTAATTATGCTTCTTAATACTTGGAAGTATTTGAAGGGTATCACATACATGTACAAACGGATGAGAGAAAATAAAAATATCTGCAACAATTCAATAAAAACTACATTTTATAAAAACTCGTACTTGCCACTAGATGATCGTTATGATAGCAACACTTCGTTAAATGTCACTTAAAGGATGTGTAATATTACATTGTAAACTATATAAAACATCAAGTTTCGCTAACTTTTGTCACCAATTCAACCATCATACACAATTAACTAGTTCAAATGAGGTATATTATTGAGATTCTTGGTAAATAATCATGGACAAATTAACACCTCCTGCTATCTTATAACCGTTAAATTATCATTTATAGATATAATAATAGACGAAGATTAATAATATTGGTTTTTTATTAAAAAATAGAGATACCAAAATACAATGAGAGACCACGTTGTACAACAACGTACAATAAATGACAACTGGAACATTCAAATTTATCAATTTTTCTACTAAACGGCATTAGATAATAGTTCGCTCGTCTACCCTTAAGATATTGTCAAATTCATAAACATTGGCGCATGTTAATACATGACCAATTGTGGAATTTATATATGTATTCTCTCAAACGAGGGTTAGACCTTTCGTCTATAAAACAATAAACAATTATAAGGTTACTGTCTAGAAAGAGATAGAAATAAACCATTTCCCCGCCTACATTGTGTCGCTGAACCCATTATTGTTTCTAAAAAAAATAATAGGAATTGGCTAACAGTAACCTACAAGTCAAAATGATCAAACTAAATACAAAATATAATACCGGAGATAAAAAAAAAAACAACAAATAGGTAATAAGAAAATGTTAATACTACTAAGTAATACATATTTGATTAGATATTGGCAATGGTGTTCGTGGTTTTCGTCGAATAAAACTTGTCGTCAAATTTAAGGCTAATCCCGATACTCTTGCCTAGAACTGTGTTATGAATCCTTTATATCATATGTTTTCAAAAACATGAAATAAATTACCTTTTTTTGTTATTCATATTTAGTATTATTTTGATATATTGATTCCAATTCAATTGTTCAAGTTTTCTCCATGGGAACTTACCGGATATCATTAATGACCTTGGTATACGCAAAAAGAATGATACTTAACCCTGTATTATTCAGCTCCATTAAGCTAAGATGAGTCCAACCCCCACTCCCCCCATCCAAAAAAAAAAAAATCATTGAAAAAAATTCAAAAGTTTTTACTGATGGATCCAATAATGGAGTTAGACACATCTTTCTAGACAGTAACCTTATATGTTTGTATTGTTTTATAGACAAAAAGGTCTAACCCTCGTTTGAGAGAATACATATATAAATTCCACAATTGGTCATGTATTAATATGCGCCGATGTTTATGAATTTGACAATATCTTAAGGGTAGACGAGCGAACTATTATCTAATGTCGTTTAGTAGGAAAATTGATGGATTTGAATGTTCCGCTATTGTTAGTAGCGCCGTCTGCTTCAATGCTTACCGCTGAAGCAATAGTAATATATTTGACACTGCAATATATTGCTGATTTAGACAAAAACAAATTTATTATTTGTCGTGACTAAATCTGTTCAGTCTAAAGTCAATCAAGAATGCAAACATTAATAATCCATTAATGTTCTTCATGTTATTTGTAGTTTAAACTTTTATTTATAAAGAAATAGTTTTGTGATGGTTGTCAAGCCTATCCACGGAAACACATTTGTAGATCCGGATGCCATAACTACGTGAAATGATGTAACATATCCTACCTTATAATTAGAGATTATGTTTTCATATGAAGTGAAATGTTGGAGTGAACTTACTATATAACAAGTGACATGAAATTTTGCTTAATATTGGGATTTCTTCCCTAATTTCAAATGTTGGAAAAACCAGTGAGTGGTCACAAGATGTCGCATCGGACTTACTAGGGCAATGAATATTAAATAAGAGTTTCAGAAGCGCCTGAATCGCTCGCCTGGTAAAAAATATGCAGTTTTTTTTATATTTATTCTTTTCCTTTATTGCAATCAGATATGTTTGTTTTTTTGTAGATCTTATTTAGAGGCATTTTGAAGGTCTTTTATTGATGAACATTTTTTACTGTTTACAGTGTATACGTATCTATTAAAGTTTTTTTGAGATAAAATATTTATAAAATGGGTAAAAATTGTCAATCAGGGGCAATAACTCTTAGAAGGTGTCAGTTGACAATTTCAGCTATATTGAATTATTAGTACATCTTATTGTGCTAGCTTAACATCTTTGCTGCTTACAAATTTTTCTCGGTCTATAATGGTTTCTGCAAAAAGTGAAATAATGATTTTAATTGGAAAGTAAAAACCATCTTTCAAGGGCAATATACTCCTATAAGCGGTCAATTGACACTTTCGACAAAGTTCACTTATTTGTATATCTTATTTTGCTGAATATTTTTACTTTAAAATTTCTCTCTATCTATTATAGCGTCTGTAAAAAAGCAACAACAAAAAATAGTCAAATTAGTCTTTAAAGGGTAATAACTCTAATAAGGGATTCAATTGAAGATCCGTCCATGCTAACTTATTTGTAGATCATATTTTGTTGAACATATTTACTGCCGAAAGATTCTCTCTACAAACTATAGTTTCCTAATAAAAAAATGCGAAAAGAGTAAAAATCATCATTTAAAGGCAATAACTCATATAAGGGATCATTTGGCAATTTCTGCCAACGGCAAGTTTGACTTATTTGTAGATCTTATTGTTTAGGTCAATTTTACTGTTCCAAATTTCTCTTTACAAATGTTATTTATAGTTTTCAAGATATTAACCAAAAACTGCGAAATTTGCAAATAACTGACATTTCAGGGGCAAAAATCTAAAGTGGGTCGTCCATTTTTTCTGTAATTCCATAGGAGATAGACCTCGACCTGTTGATCAATTCTACTCTGTAAGATTTGCTCTAACTGCTTCAGTTTTAAGATACAAGCTAAAACAATTTGAAATTCACTAACAATTGACGTTTCAGGGGTGATAACTCCAAAATCGGAATCCCAATTTTTCTGACAATTCCTTAACAGATAGACCTTGACCTTCTGATGTCATATTTGCTCTAACTGCTTTTGTTTTTGAGATGCAAACCATGGACAAATACTGCATTTCTCTTTATATGTTCTGTTTTTAGCAACACTGGTCATGTGATACAACTTTTTAAACTAGATACTCTAAGGAGCATTCGGGTAAAGTTTGGTAACATTTGGCGCAGTAGTTTCAGAGGAGAAGATATTTTTGAAAAGTTTACGACGAAAGCACTTGGTTACGCGGAGGAAACTGATTTTGTCAATCTAGCACGATAAAGATAAAATCATTGTGTAACTATGCAATGCTACTATCTTAAACACAAAACAGATGTAAGAAGTATGTCAAAAAGTTTATATTTATAAAAAGTATCAAATTATATAAAAAAAAAATGGATATTATGAAAAACACCAGTTTTTGTTTATTTTTGTTTGAAGAATTGAAAATAGAATGGCTAGAAGTTTACAAATATCAATCAAATCTATACATTTTACACTTGCTTGATTGTAAACTCGAAATTACAACCAGGATGTTGTTCATTTATAGCTCACCTGGTCTAATGGTCTTGTGAGCTTTTGCCATCGTTTGGCGTGCGTCGTGCTAGATTGACAAAATCAGTTTCCTCCGCGTAACCAAGTGCTTTCGTTTCATTAGTACGGCTAATTAGTGGTAATAACAAACAATAAACCCGGCCATGGGTTAACGAATGGCCGAGGAAGTATAATCGATTAAAAATAAGCGCAAAAAAACAAAGACAAAACAGCAACGAACAACACTTGGTCCAGATAGCCTGACTTGGTACTGGCAGAAACTGTGGTGGTGTGAAATCAACGAGCACACCACCTCTCCTCTCAAACACCCAGTCCAGCTACCAACATAACAGGTTGGCCACTTATTTGTAAAAAAACTCATCATCAAAGATACTAGGCGCATAATGTTGTACGCCAAAAACGTTTCCTCTACAAAACACTCATCAAATAAGCGACTTAATATTAATTCCAACATCACTCTAAAAAATTATATGAATAAAATGTTACAAGAATTCCATAAATATAACTTTTATTATTAAGTCTGTTGAGCCCCATGAATAAAATTGAAGCACAATTCTTATACTTGTTTGCTCTTTAAATACTATTAGTATACCAAGCTGGCTGTGAATCCTTTAGTTTAACCCAGTGGAAATATACTACCACAATAAAAACTCATTTATTTATAATGACACTTTGTAAAGGTTTTGATCTTGAATATGAGCCTAGTTGACAAGATACAAGTCCTATACCCACGAATGAAGACTTTTGACTACACTACTTTCAACTGAATGTGTAGCGAGTTAAAAATATACAAAGGTGATTAAATCTGAAGTATTTTCAATGCGTATTCATCAAACTTTCAACTTCCACGAAAATACTGTATGAATCTGAACTATATATGGTGGAATATTATCTGAGTAAAACTAAGATTTTAACTTTAAAGTAAATAGAAATTAGTATTCTCTCATCTTATTTTTAGAATAATACCTAAAAGAAACCGGATTCAGGACTACAAATTTGAAACTGGAATAGAAATTTGGCAGTCAGATATAGGGAATAATTAAAGTGGAAAATAACTACCGATAACTGTACATGTATCTCTGTTTTTAGAGCTTTTAGTAATGAAAGATATTATTAATATGTAATTGCAAACAAGAACAGTCTAATCGAATCAATTGGGAAATGTACACACTATAACAATAACCTAATGGTAGAAGGAAATATCAATTAATAATAGGAAAAAAATATCGTCCCGATTGTCAGGATTTTGGAATGAAAAATAAAGGAGATCTAATTCAGCCAAAGTTCACTTATTTGTATATCTTATTTTGCTGAATATTTTTACTTTAAAATTTCTCTCTATCTATTATAGCGTCTGTAAAAAAGCAACAACAAAAAATAGTCAAATTAGTCTTTAAAGGGTAATAACTCTAATA